CTGTTTGGAAGCAGAAAGCTGAGGTTTACAGATCAATTCAGTAAATAGCTGCCCTCTTAGCCACCTTTCCCCAGAGGGATAGTCATTGGGAAGTAGTCCTCTGCAGTCAGAGTTTCTGCAAGCTGCAATAGAATCTTGGCTAGTTTTAGAATGCCAGTCCCCTGGAATTGTTATTCCAGCTCTTAAGAGTGTAAACTTGAAAGATCGGCACTGTGCAAACCTTTTCAGGAAGGAAGCATTTGTAAGTGAAGCCGAAATTGCTTTATCTAAAAATCAATTCACTTTGGAAATACAGCTAAATGAAACAGTCATTCATGACATTTCTGATTATTCTTTCCTAATCTGTGCCAAAACCCAAAAGGAATAATGTTGGATTATCTGCTCTTTTGAATTAAATATCCCTCTGTGTGCCATTCTATTTGCATACATGACTAAGGCTTTACAATAATTGTATGGAATATGAGGGAGTCTTTTTCTTCCAAAAATTGGTAACTCTGTAACCCCAGGGAGTCGACTATATTCTGGACTATGAACTTGAACAAAGTTTGTTTACTGCTCAGAAATTACTCAGTCCAGAATTCTCAAGAAAAATTATTTTGGTTTATTTCCCATTGTGCATAAAATAGCAAGCAGCGAGGAAGAATAAATTGAAAGTCATAGCTAATCAAGGCTTTATAACTAATACTTTGTTTATATATTCATCTGGCAATTTTTAGAATTTCAGTCCTGTAAATTATCTGGTACATCTGATTATAAGTAGCCAAATATATGTGTTAATGATCCAAATTGTATCAAACAGGCACTGTAACCTATACATTTTTTTTTTTTTTTTTGAGACAGGGTCTCACTCTATCACCCTGGCTGGAGTGCAGGGGCAATCACAGCTCACTGCAACCTCCGCCTCCCAGACTCAAGTGATCCTCCCACCTCTGCTTCCCAAGTAGCTGGAACTACAGGAGCATGCCACCACATCCAGCTGATTTTTGTGTTTTTTCGAAAGACGGGGTCTTACCGTGTTGCCCAGGCTAGTCTGAAACTCCTTGACCCAAGTGGTCTGGCTGCCTCAGCTTCCCAAAGTGCTGGAATTACTGAAATGGTGCACTGCACACAGCAACCTGTACCTTTAGTTACCTTAATTTAAGATTATTTTGAAAGAATACACCGTCAGTCTAGAGCAATTCTCCAACTAGTTGAATCATTACAGGCTCTAATAAAACCCATTGCTGTCAGAGCTCTGAGGTCTGTAAATAATTATGCCTTCTTGTTTTTGAGTAAAGTAGGATGATGTATATTACCACAGTTAATAAACTACTTTCAAATTATAGTCTCCAAAGCAACAAAAGCATTCCACACTTTCAAAAGCTCATAGAGGCTCAATTCCTTTAAAGAGGTGTTTATAACTGTAGTTGCCAAAATCAAATATTTCTGTGAGTTTTCTTTTTAAATATTTATTGCCTTTATAGAATACTGAAAATTTAAATTGAAAATGGAAACATATATTAAGTAATACTCCAATTTAAAATGGAAGATGTAGGAATTGGAAGAAACAGGATTAAATAGAGTGATGTGGAAGTTGGAAGTTCCACTCCAGAATTCTCTGAATCAAACACTTGGCAGCTCCCCAGACCATGTTAATTGCCTTTTTGTGTAAACATTTCCACTGGCCAACTCATCATCTTGGCTTAATATGTAGTCATTGTAACAAGATTGGTAATATTTAAATATTCTTTCCTTTCATCCCTGTCTTATGGAACTAATGGCTTCTGAACACAAACTATTGTTTTACCTTTGAAATATTTTTTTAAATTTTATTAGTGTTTATAAAATGGGCCAGATAAAGAACACCATAGCTGTCTTTAAAATACTGTCATAATGGAACCGAAGTTAGAGACATTTTAAATTCCTCACTGCCATAGATAAAATTTGTTTTGGCCCAGCAGTCCAGAATGCCTCACCTTTAGTAACCAGGGATGCCCAAGCACTGTGACCCCCCTTCCCAGATCAAGGGAGCTGAATTCTCTCTGCTTTGTCACCAACCCCCCATTTTAGTCTCAAATGCTCACTGTCCATGCATCATTTTAAAGATTAAAGCCTTACAAATACATGGACTCCTCAGTAGATATATATAATTTAAAGACAAAAATGACTTTTGGAATCGTTCAGTTCATCTCCCTCAACCTGTGAGTGACCAAAGCTTGCATGCTTGCTATGTAATACAGGAGGCGGCCATTTCTCTGAGACACACACACATTTCAGCTGTGGCAGCCCGTGGTAGGGTGACATGTGCCCATGTCCTCACCCAGGTCAATCCACAGATCTTTGCAGCTTTGCCTAAGAAAAGGCAAATGCCCTTATATAATGTCTAGATATAGTTGTGCCATCTCTAATATCTTGAACCCCTTCCCTGACTTATATTTAAGAGCAAGTACAACCATTAATCTTATAAGTAATCTTACTGAAATACATTAATTCTGCAGACTGAATGAATGGTAACCAAAGCTGTCCTTTCATATGAACATACTTTATGTTCTAAATCCAGTTTTCTTTCTATCAGCATAACATTTCCTCTGCTAGTGCTTTTAACGTTTTTGCTTCCATGGTCGGGGGTGAGGTGGGGTGGTGACAGAAAAGAGTGCCATCTTCCTTCTGATATGAATGTGTACAAAGAATGAGGAAGGATAAATTTAACTCTTTTTAAATTAAATGTTAAGCAAAGTTTCTAAACATATTGAATGTTTTTCTAGTATATTGCTGGTTTTCTCTTGATTCACATTAATGGCAGAGAACAAATACATGGATACAAAGTAATTTGACATTTAGCTTAGTACATACATATTGCTTAACTTTCTCACCTGAGTGAGATACCACATGCTCTAATCCCCGAACTTAACTAGTCCCTAAGGATCTGGAAGGGGGGCTGGGCTTCCTCAGCACTCTGTTCTCTTTCTTTTCCAGGATAAAGTCATGATCTACTCTTACCCCGACATTGCCTTATGTTGCAGCTTTGTTTTTAATATTTATCCAGACCACAGAAATTTGTAGTTTTGCCTAATAGGCTTGTTGACTTTGGTCAGTGACGGAATGATTGGAATAAAACATTGATATGTCATGACAACTAGTTAATGAGCAATTACCATGTGCATTTGCCTTATGTTAGAAACTTTGAAAGTAGCTATTCATCCTATTTGGATGACTGGAAATTCTTTTTTATAAGCCAACTATGAAAATAAAAACAGATTCACATTCCCAGAGCCTAATACATTTAGGGCATTTTGTTAAATACATGAATATGTCATTTTCAGATCGCTGTGTCTTATTTCTCTTTACTTTCTTTTGGATGTACTGTATATCTATGTTTTAGGGGAAAATCTAGGTTTTGCTGTAAGAAGGAGCAGGGAATGAGAGTGAGGCGAACCCTGAACTGCACCTGCTGGTCATCCTCATGGTTGTTCTCCTCCTCAGCATTCCTCAGCAGCCTGGCAGCAGAAGCCAGGACAGGACTGAAAGGGTTTACCCAGAGTTGTGACAGATGTATGGCAAAAAACAAAGAGGGGGTGGACACCAAGAGCAGCATTTTAATGAAGTCTACCTTAGAAAGAGAAGAAAGTGAGAATAAATTCCACAAGCCGTGAAGACCTGGCCCCAACCTATCCTTCTAGCCTTCTCTCCCACACCCTTCCTTCCCTTCATTCTGCAGTCTAGGAGCTGCCTCTGGTTCCTGGCCAGTCCCTCTGCTCCTGTGTTCTCTCCTTGCCCAGATTCTCATCACTCTTTCCTCACCAACTCTTTACTTACCCTTCAGGAATCAACTCAGGAGTCTTCCTTGAAGAAGCCTTCTGTGATCCATCCCCACCATGCTGGATTGTGTGTCCCTGCTTTAGATGCTCAGAGAACGCTTCACACACTTACCTCGGCATTTTTCATATGTCATTGGAACTGTTTATGCTAAGTTCTTTTTCTATCATTACACTATTAGGTCTTTGAGAAAAAAGTGATTATCATAACCATGCTTGTAATCCAATGCCATGTATAGGCCTGGCAAATAGTAGGCATGCACTAAATGTACATCTAAACTAAAACGAAAGTGTGGGATTTTAGGTATCAAAAAGGGAATTTATTAGTCAGGAGAATAACAGACTTTATTATTTTGAATTACCACATCTTTCTTGAGGTGTTAAGTGGCTCTCCAGAAATAAACTGTGCCCTAGAGAACTGCCATGTCTACAGGAGTCACTTCATGTGTATTTGTGTGTATGTGTGTTTATAACTTTTTTTAAAAGGCCTAGTCTTTTTAAAAAGCATTTCTCCAAGAAATGCCTTGGAGCAGTAATTTCTGAAGCTCATGCTTTTGACCCTTTTATATGTTTATAACATAATTTTGTTAAGATTCTTGGTCACAGGTTATATACAGTGGAGAATGAGTTCGCACCTTAGGTAATATGCTTGGAAAAAGATCAAATAGCGTAACGATACACATAAGAAAGAAAGTCTGGTAAATGCAGGGAAGATTTGGAGAGGGATGAACTGAGTGTATAATTAACAAATCTTCGAAATTTATCTTCTGTCCAAGTAAAATTTTGTATATAATGTGAATACCTAAAATTCCGTGGACTCTCAGGCTGAAATTAATTAAAATATTGAAGAGCTTTATGTGGCATTTGGGCATGGTGGGAGTGTTTGGTCAGATTTTGTTTTATATTCTATGTGGAATGGTTATATATCTATATAGCACCTGAACTTTCCAAAAGATTTGCGTATTCATCAACAGCAAGTACTCAGCAGCCTTCTAAATTAAGTCAACATTAATTTTCAATTTAGAGATAGGAGTCAAACCCTAAAACTGGTAGCCAAAGAAAACAATGCTTGGTTTTACAATATCTAGAGTGGACTATTAGCTAATATTCCATTTTTTAAAAACTGTCTTTTTCACGTCTACTATTTAAATAGTGAAAAATTGAATTACTCTAACCCATAACTCTTCACTGTCATCTCTTCTTTAGTGGTATTGGAAGGAACTGGCCCTGGGCTTCTGGAGGCAGCAGTATTCTGGCAGAATTTGGAACCCTGCATTTGGAGTTTATGCACTTGAGCCACTTATCAGGAAACCCCATCTTTGCTGAAAAGGTGAGATTCTTTGATGTGCCTTGGCTTACAAAGCAACACTTAGGAGAAACAATATCCTCTCTGAGAAGGTTTAGGAATTTTTGATTTGGAAAATAACAAGCAAAGTTGTTATAGCTCTTTGTGAAGTTTTGCAACATGCAGCATTTCGTTTAAACCTATAGCCTTTCCAGGACACCATTCTAGCTCAGGGTGTGAGAGCACAGCTTCCACATCTGGTTCTCGCTACCTTAAGTTAGTTACTTCGCTCATATGAAGTTTGTTTTTTTTTTATCTAAAAATATTTAGTAATAAATGCACTAGACCAGGCACAGCGGCTCACACCTGTAATCCCAGCACTTAGGGAGACCAAGACGGGTGGATCATGAGGTCAGGAGATTGAGACCATTCTGGCCAGCATGGTGAAACCCCATCTCTACTAAAAATACAAAAATTAGCTGGGCATGGTGGTCCGTTCCTGTAATCCGAGCTACTCAGGAGGCTGAAGAAGGAGAATCACTTGAACCAGGGAGTCAGAGGTTGCAGTGAGCCTAGCACACACCACTGCACTCCAGTCCCGTGACAGAGTGAGACTCCGTCTTTAAAAAAAAAAAGTAAATAAATGCACTATATGAGCCAAGTATGTGAAAGATAGACTCAAAGTGTTATGCAAATGTGATGTTGTACCTGAATTGGTTCCTCATTTTTAGAAAGCAAACCCGTCAATATTTGGATAAATCCATGTTCCCCCCATCACTCTACCTTTATTTTCAACCTGCTTTTTGGCTTTCCTTTACAGTAAAACTCCTTGAAAGAGTCATCTCAGTTTAATTTTCTACTCTCTTGACCCTTCTCCATTAGGACTTTTCTCCCAGCCACACCCGTCTCAGTGACCAGTGAGCACCACAGTGCTAAAGCCACTTATCCATTCTCCCCCATCATCTTCCTTACACTCTTGGCATTCAACACAAAATTTGGTCAGTTCTTTGTTCCTGAGATATACTTTGTACTTGGCATGTAATACTCTCCCGGTTTGTCTCCTTTTTCGCGGGATGCTCCTTCTGTCTTTTTTGTGTGTGTCCTCCTCAACACCCCAACCTCTAATTATTGGACAGCCCTAGCACTCAATCCTGTGCCTCTTTATTTTTTATATTCACTCCCTATATTGTCACATCCAGTCTCTGGGCTTTGCGTACGTCTCTGTACTCTAGACTCCAAGTTTATTGTTTTGGTCCCAACCTGTCCCCTGAACTCCAGACTCTATATCTGTTTATTGAACATCTCTACTAAAGGGTCGATTGACAAGTCCCACTTAAAATGCCCCGGACTCAGTGCCTAGACCTGCTTCTCCTGTAGTCTTTGCTATCTTGGTAAATGGCACCTCATTGTACCCAGTGGTCAGGTCAGAGATCTTGAGGTCCTCCTGGTTCTTCTTTTTGGTAAACCCCAGGTCTGGTCCACTAAGAAATCCCTTGGCTCGTTGCCTCTAATGCTGCCCTGATCTGTAGTCCATTATGTCACCTGAACTGTACAGTAGCCACCTGACCATCACTTCCTTTTTTTTCTCCCCTCGGCCTTTCCATGACACTCGGAGTAAAATACGCCCTTATCGTGACCTGTGAGGCCTGGGTGACCTGGATCCTGGCTCTCCCTCTCCTCTGCCTGCTGATATTCTCCTGTTTGCCTCCCACCTCTGGCCTCAGTGGCCTTGCAAACCTTCTGTCTTCTCAGGGTCTTTATACTTGCTCTCCTCTCTGTTCAGAGTGCTCTTCCTTCACATTTCCACATGGCTTACTCCCTCACTTCTTTAATATTCTGCTCAAACGCCCCTGCCTTGCCAGGCCACCCTGACTAACATGGGATAGCCTCTCCACATCACCCTGCCCCATTACTCTCAGTCAGCTCAGGCTACCATAACAAAAATGCAACCAGGAACAACAAATTTCTTATAGTTCTGAAGGCTGGGAAATCCAAGATCAAACTGCCAATGAGGTAGGTTTCATTCTGAGCCTCTTCCCTGGGCTTATAGGTAAGTACCGTCCCACTGTGTGTTCACATGATGTCTTCTTTGTGCTCTGAGGGATAGAGGGAGACACACACAGAGAGAGTGAGCTCTTATGTCTCTTACAAGGGTACTAATCCCATTTTAAAGGCTCTACCATCATAATCTAATTACCATCTCCAAATACGTCTCCTAATACAATCACATTGGGTATAGGGATTCAGCCTATGAATTTGAGGGTATACAGTTCAGTCCATTGCATCCTCTTATTTTTTTTCCACAGTATTCTTCATCTCCTGACATACTAAACAATTTGGTGTTGCTTAGCACTGTTTCAGTCAACAATCAACCACATATATGACTGTGGTCCTGTAAGTTTATAACGGAGTTGAAAAAATTCCAACTGCCTTGTGATATCATAGTCGTCATAATGTCCTAGTGCAATGCATTACTAACATGTTTGTGGTGCTGATGGCATAAACATACTACACTGCCAGTCATATAAAAGTACAGCACAGACAATTATGTATACAGTACATAATATTTGATAAAGTAACTGAGTGCATTACTGGTTTATGTATTACTATAGTTTTTATTGTTATTTTAGAATGTTCTACTTTTTTTTTTAAGTTCGCTGTAAAAGCCAGGTCCTTCAAGAGGTATTCCAAAAGAAGGCATTGTTATCACAGGAGGAGACAGCTGCATACATGCTATTGCTCCTGAAAGACTTTCAGTGGGATAAGATGTAGAGGTGGAAGACAGTGATATTGATGGTCCTGCTCTGTGTAGGCCTAACTAATGTGTATTTGTGTCTTGGTTTTTAACAAAAAGTTTAAAATGTTAAACAATTTTTAAAAGAAATTTTAAATAGAAAAAAGCTTATAGATAAGAATATAAAGAAAGAAAATATTTTGGTACAGCTATGCAAAGTGTTTGTGTTTTAAGCTAAGGGTTATTGCAAGAGTCAAAAATTTAAAAAATTTAAAAGCTTATAAAGTAAAATTACAGTAAACTAAGGTTTATTAAAGAAAAATACTTTTATAAATTTATTAATATAGGCTAAGTGACCCATGTTTATGAAGTTTACAGCAGTTATAGTAACATGCCAGGCCTTCACATTCACTCATTACTCACTCACTCACTCATCCACAGCAACTTCTAGTCCTGTAGGTTTCATTCATGATAAGTGCCCTATACAAAGGTACCATTTTTCATCTTTTATAGTGTACTTTTCTGTTTAGATACACAAATATTTCAGTACAGTAACATGCACTACACAGGTTTTGTAGCCTATAAACAGTAGGCTCTGCCTTATAGCCTAGGTGTGTGCTAGGCTGTACCATCTACATTTGTGACAGTGTACTTTATGATGTTTGTACGACAATGAAATTGCCTAGCTGTGCATTTCGCGGAACATATCCCTGTCACTAAGTGACACATAACTAATTTATTTATTTATTTATTTATTTATTTATTTATTTATCAACTGTCCCATCCCACTAGGATGCACAGTTCCAAGAATGTGGTGACTTTGTTTATCTACTGGTATAGCCCTTGTTCCTAGTATGGCATCTGGCTAATGGTAGATAATCAATTAGTATGACTATATTCACTTACTACCATTATGTTTGTAATAATAAGCTAACAGCAATTATCTTTGTTCTAATTCTACATCATTTAAGTCAACTTATTTTTTCTAAATGGAAAAATAAGTTCAAGAAAAAGAGAAGAATAGTATGAGAATTGTTTTTTAGATTTTCACAGTAACATTTTGTTTTCTGTTATAGGTAATGAATATTCGAACAGTACTGAACAAACTGGAAAAACCCCAAGGCCTTTATCCTAACTATCTGAATCCCAATAGTGGACAGTGGGGTCAACGTAAGTCAGAAGATTCACAATATTATAGCTCTTTATGGTACTGTACTCATAGAGAGAGGGAGCACGAAAGCAACACAGATTTTGTTAAGAAATGTTTAGAACAGGAGAAAATGACATGGCTTCTTTAATAAACAGGCTACTGTCATCAGACAGATTGTGTTACCAGAAAACTGGATTATGTATTTTTCATATATAACTCCAAGTGTGGTGATATATAAAGACATTTAAAGCTATTAATCAGAAAGGGAAGATCTGGTCAGAGTAGTGTGGGATATTAACCTATAACAAGCTAGTCATGTGGATAGAAAGGAAGTTCATTCCTTTGTACTAATGACTGTGAGGGTTTTGTAGAGAGTAGCTAGACCATTCTGCTTCCTAGCATTCTCTATTTCTGCGTGGCTATACAGTGAGAGAGGAGCCTGAATTTTTAAGAGTTGGGAAATTGGAAGAGCAAACAGCCTGTTTTTCTCTACTTAATTTTAAGCTGCCAGATAAAGGTTTCTTGCCAGTAGAGTTAACTTTAGGATGGGAGAGAGTATTGCACAAGGACTTTTGAATGCTAGAAGCCTGCACTTAAGACTCTTCAGATGATTCTGAGCAAGGTCATAAAGATTCAGAGTAGTTGAAAGAAATGTTTGTAAGCCAATTTGGAAAAACAGTAGTACATTAAATAGCAACTGAAAACAAGTGAAGAATATTAAGTGAGATGCCTAGCTGTAACAAGAGTACACTGCCTTAAAATTTTACTCTAATTTGGGTTTTTTCTTTGCATTTCAATGTCATGTTCTTAGATACCTCAATGATATTTTAGAAGTACTTTTCTTAAAGAATAGGAAAGAATATGCTAAAATTTATATGCTAAAATATGCTGTAGCTCTGGAAGGCCTAGCTCTTGAAACCTTAGGACTGTAATCATGGTTACCACCTACCTAACTTAATCAACAGATCACTGGAAGTCCTTGAGACCTCAGAGGAGGCCCACAAGGTCAAAACTAGTTTTATTATAATACTAATATATTTATTATATAATAAATATATATATAATAATATAATACTAATTATTATTATATAATAATATATAATATAATAATAATATACAATATAATACATATCTGGCACTTAGTGTTTACTTACTTAAATCATGTGAATACATATGTGCTCTGTATCTGATCTTTCTGCCTCTGCTTTTAATAGTGGTACTTTAAAAGACTTTCTGCCTTTTCTAATATGTTGACATTTACACCTACAGTGTTAAGTGAAACTACTGAAGCCTCACTGAGAACAAAGGCAAACAAACACCAAATAGTACTAATACTCATTCTCTTTCTTTTCTTTTTTTTCTATGGAGGCAGGGTCTCACTATGTCACCCAGGTGGTAGTACAGTGGCATGATCTCAGCTCATTGCAACCTCTGCCTCCTGGGCTCAAGCTAGGCTCAAGTGATCTTCCCAGCTGACACCTCCCCACCCCTGCCACCCGCCCAAGTAGCTGGGACCAGAGGTGCACACTGCCATGCTCAGTTAATTTTTACTTTTTTTTTTTTTTTTTTTGGACAGACAAGGTTTCATTATTTTTCCCAGAATGGTCTCAAACTTTTAGGCTTGAGTGATTCTTTTGCCTTGGCCTTCCAAAGGGCTGGAATTACAGGCATGAGCCACCACACCAGCCCTCATTGATTCTTAATAGCATTTTTTTAAAAATACCAGTTTCACTTATGAATGTGTTTAATGAAACAGTAAAAAAAAAGTTACTGATTCAACCCTTGAGTACAATCCTTTGTAATGTTTTCTGAGATGAAATGAAAAGTACCCATAAATCAATCCTGCTGAATTATGAAAAGTGATAGTTGCCTCAAGGAAAAGCTCTTGGGTGATTGAGTTGCAAGCTGAACTATCCACTTACTGTTTCATGGATTCAGCGTCTTTACTTGAAAGAACAACTTTAAAAAATGGTTATTTAGGTTGGATAATCAATAGCCATGTTCTTAAAAATGAGTTTGTCACTTCAAGGAAAAGTGACAGTATTTGTGCCAATGATTATAATCCAAGTTTCTAAATAAATAATAGAATTTTGGAAAACTTGTACATGCTGCCATGAGCTTGGCACAAATACTTTTCCTGTTAGATTGATGATGATATTAACCAATGTGGTTTTCTGATATAGTATAATGGAAAGTGTCAATATTTGAAAGATCTGCATAATTCAGTGAACCGGTATTTTCCAGATGACCAAAGCATGATATTATAAGATCATACATAGAAAACAATCTATTTAAAGTATAAGATAGACTAATGGATTTTAATGTAACAATACAAAAAGTCACTGATGTAATTTCTAATTTCACAATGCAATAAACCTTTAAAAACAAAGCCACTTGTTGATTATGCTTATAGTATCAAAGAAAAATATCCACAATTGTGTGAAAAGCCTGTTAAAATATCCTTTCTTTTTCTGACTGTATAACTACGTGAGGCTGACTTTTCTTGATGTATTACAGCCAAAACAACATATAGCAGTGGATTGAAAGTAGGGCAGGCATGAGTATCCAGCTGTCTCCTATCAAGGCAAACGTGAGAGAGATATGCAAAAATGTGAAATTGTGTCAGTCTTCTCACTGATTTTTTTTTGTTTTGTAAATTATAACTTTTTTGGAAAATTATGCATGTTAACGTAATGGGCATGTAATTATTATTGTAAATGAAATAACAAAAATATTTTTAAATTGTTTTAATTTTCCAAGGTAGTAAATATAGGTATTACTTACACAAATTATTTGGGGTACCCATTTCTTTTGAAGATTACAAAAGGTTGCTGAGACTTAACATTTGAGGGCCACCAGAGGACTGAGGATAAAACAACTTGTGTATATTTCTAAGTACAAGGTGACAGGATGTGATTCTTTAAAAGTACAAGCATTTTTGGAGTATTCCTCACCACAGGTTTCAAAAGCTGAAGAAAAGTCTCCTTGATTTACCGTTTTCCTCCTAAAATTTGGGATTTGGAAGCTGCTATGAAGGGGGACAGAAGGAGCCAGTTGTACTGAAACATCTCCGCTTCTCCTTCTGGGTCACCCTGATGCTATGTATTTGGCCATGTTTCCTGGTACAAAGAGTCCTTTATATTTGGATTTCTCATGGGCCAATTTCCTGATGGAAAAAAAAAACAAGATTGATGACTTATTCCTCTCTCCTGCCCCGACCCCCATTCTGTATTCTAGCCAGAGGAAGACACACTTATTTTTTATTCTTCAATCAAGGCCTCCTTGGCCATGTTCAGGTGTTTGCTTGTGCCATTTCCTTAGCCCTTCCACCTCTCAAGGCACAGCTCCATTGCCATTTCTTCCAGGATACCTTCCTCGGTGCTTCAGTTGGGATTTATTAGCATCCACTTTTCCTCTATTCTTCCCCTGCCCCGGCACTTTATGTGCTTTCCTATCACAAACCTTTTCCTGCTGATTCACGTCTATATCCATGTTCCTAAGGACCCAAAGCTTTTGCCGGTAGTAACCATGTCTTGGTCATATTTACTAAGCCAGCACACAGTATCTTGCACCTAGGAGATATTTACTTACTTAAATTTTGTGAATGCATATATGCTCTGTATCTGATCTTTCTGCTTCTTATCTTTCTTTTTTTCTTTTTTGGAGACAGAGTCACACTTTGTCATTCAGGCTGGAGTGTAGTGACATGATCTCAGCTCCCTCCGCCTCCCGGGTTCAAGAGATTCTCCTGCCTCAGCCTCCCAAGTAGCTGGGATTACAGGTGCCAGCCAATATGCCAGGGTAACTTTTGTATTTTTAGTAGAGACTGGGTTTCACCATGTTGGCCAGGCTGGTCTCGAACTCCTGACCTCAGGTGATGCACCCTCCCTGGCCTCCCAAAGTGCTAGGGTTACAGGCATGAGACACCATGCCAGGCCTGCCTCTGCTTTCAATGGTTGTTCTACTTGTTCTTTTTTAGCAGTTGCCCTTACTTCTCAGTTGTGGCTGAAAGGCAGTAACCAGTCCTGATCAGTGATCATATAAACAGATCTTGTTACCATTTAGGCCAGATGGCAGGGTTTCATGTCTGTACCCAGAACATTTATCATCCTTTGATTTCTGTAACAGCAACCCATCCATCTATAATCTAGCTAGCTGGCTAGCTGCAGGCTAGCTATGTATAGTGTCACTAGCATCATTGCGGGATTGTTTCAAAAAGAGAAATTCAGATCGTCAACAAAAATTTTAAAAGGGAGCTATTGAGTATTTCAATTATTCTTTGTCTTGAATCTTTTGCTACTTGTTTTTTTTATCTTTTTTAAATATTAGAAATCCTTTTTGGGACAAAATACTCACTTGGAAATAAAGAAAAAAAAAGAAATCCTTTTATGGGATCTATTCTTATGAATAAAAGAATAAATTACTCCTTCAGAGAAGAGCATATTTGAGTGACTACAGTACATCTTACCTTTAGAGCAGTTGGACATAAAAATACTATATTATGTTCTTTCTAGAAGTAAGTGGATTCTTTCCTGCTGATAAAATCAGTCATCCTCTCCCTACATCCCTTAAGATGTTTACACAGGACTGTGTTGACAAACAGTCATCTAGGCCTGAAGGAAACTCAGTGAGTGATACCCTAAATTATTGAGAAGACCTGTTTCTCCTCTACCTTCCTTTGTCTTGCTTTTTTTCATATGTGAAATTTTTACAGATAGAAAATTTAAAAATAGAAAACTAGCACTTACCAAAATTAAAACAAGTGTATTCTTATGTAATACTTTTTTCTTAAAAAAAAAAAAAAATCCCCAAATGCCCAAACTTGCTTCTTCCATCTATTAGAAAATCATAACCCAAGGGGAGGAAAACATCAAGCTGCTTCTGGCTGTTGGTTTTCAGCTCCCATTGCTTTAACTCGGAAGGACACGTCTGGATCCTGGCCATCATTTCCTATCACTTCATTGAGTTGGTGTTGTTTTGACAATGCCAAACCATGATTTGCTTTTCCATGCATCACTTGCATTTGTCTCTTACAATCATGTTGATAACAGGGCTTATTATTGATGAATTCGTACTTAGTCTGTTAATTTGTAAATGTCAGAGGTTTCTGTGTTGATTTATTTTAAAAACTGTAAAGGTCATTTCAAGACAAAATTTTTTAAATATATTTTTACATTAAAATTAAAACTATAATTCTGCACTTTCTGCAATAAGAAAATCACATACTTAACTGCTTTAAAACATGGCTCTTTCGCTTGAATAGTTATAGCCCTTTATTAAGGTTGACATAGAAGAATTTTGCTTTGTTCTTCAATTATTTGTTGAGTGCCTACCATGTGCAAGACACTTTCCAGGAGTTGGTGTGGACTGGGAAACATAATAGGTCTGGTCTCTGCCTTTTTGGTTCATGATCTCATGGAGGAGACAAAAGAAAATGTTACCCAGTTATGGAATTGCAGGTGATAAATGTGTGCTATTAAAAAGTGGGTGACAAGGGAACCTAGTGGGATTGTCAAGAGAACACTTCCTTGAGGAAGTGCCATTTAATCCCAGGGCAGGGAGTCCTAGGGTCTATTTCAGGCAGAGGGAACAAAGCCTATAGAAGCCCTGCCTGAGATTGGGTGGAGCCTGATGTTTTTGAGGAACCAAAAGAAGGGCTGTATAGCAAGTGAGCAGAGAGCAAGTAGAGCAAGACTGAATGGCATAGAGAAGATTGAGATATTGCACAGCACCAAACACACAGGATTAAGGGTCTTCAAGTAAAGGGTGACCACATTCATGTGTTAAGAGGGCTACTCTGACATTAATGTGGGGAATAGAATGAAGGGCACTGTCATTAGAACTCTTGGCCAGGTGCACTGGCTCATGCCTGTAATCCCAACACTTTGGGAGGCTGAGGTGGGCGGATCACAAAGTCAGGAGTTCGAAACCAGCCTGGCCAACATGGTGAAACCCTGTCTCTACTGAAAATACAAAACATTAGCTGGGCATGGTGGTGGGCACCTGTAATCCCAGCTACTTGGGAGGCTGAGGCAGGAGAATTGCTTGAACCCGGTTGGCGGAGGTTGCAGTGAGCCAAGATCATGCCACTGCTGCACTCCAGCCTGGGTGACAGAGCAAGCAATACTTCATCTTGGGGGAAAAAAATAACTCTCTACAATGCTAAAAAATTTTGTATCTTCCCTGCCCAATATAGTGGGCAAGGGCCACATCTACCTACTGAGCATGAATACAGCTCAGAAACTAGATCCTTCATTTGATTTTAATTATATTAAGTTGAAATAGCACATGCTATAAAAGTGAAATCAATAAATCAGATAATTGACTGGAGCTAATGGTAGCTTGAGTCAAGATCATATTGGTGAACACAGAAACACATGGATTTAAGAGATACAGAAAGTAATGTTAGTGGAGTCTGGTAGCTCATTGGATATGACAGAGAAGTAAAGAATGACTACCTGATTTATACTGTATCCAGATGGTAAGATGAGGCCACTGCAGAAAAGAAGGTGGAGGAAGAAAAGATAATGAATTTCCATGTAACCCTATTCAGTTTTAGGTTCCCATGTAGACAGACATCCACATGGTGTTGTTGGGTAGCCCCCAGGAGAAAAATTATCTTGATGCAGTTTAAATACTGAATTGATTTTGTGTAACTAAGTCAACAAAGATTTTATCCTTAAAAATAAATTAGGTTTGATGTATGAAACTTAAAAGACTATTTTGTTAATGATCATATTTTCTGAATTCTAGGTACTATGTTTCAAATAAATTGTGTTTGTTTTTGTAAGCAAATATGCTTGAAAAATAAAAGTTAATTCGAGCAGTAAGCAAAAGAATATCCTAGTGTTACATGGTAGAGAGCAAGCAGATCCAGATAGACCCTGTGTGGGCTGTGGGGTCCATGGTACTTAACCAATGCTGTCAGCACATTTAGCCTCTGTAAGCCTGATTTTTCTCACTCTTAAAATGAGAATACCTATTCTACAGTTGGGAGATGATTGATGATGCATATAGTAGATCAGGCATGATAATAGCAGTGAAGGTGGACTGTAAGAATGGAGTATTAGGAGGAAAATCATCCTCTGCCCTATATTCTTTCTGATGGCCCTTGTCCCATAAGTATTTGACCCTTCAGATTCATAGCACTAGAAAAGTTATCAAATAATAATACACTGAGCACAGTGCATCACGTCTGTAATTCCTGTTCTTTGAGAAGCCCAGGTGGGCAGATCACTTGAAGCCAGGAGTTGTAGATTAGCTGAGGCAACATAGTGAGATGCCATCTCTACAAAAAATTTAAAAATGAGCCTGGTGTGGTAATGTGTACCTGTAGTCCCAGCCACTTGGGAGGCTGAGACAGGAGGATCACTTGAGCTTGTGAGTTTGAGGCTATAGTGAGCTGTCATCATGCCACTGCACTCCAGCCTGGATGACAGAGTGAAATTAAAAATAATAATAATGACAAAAACCTGAGGAACATCTTGTTTTATTACCAACCACTTTTTTAAAAAGATTTGCTAATACTCAAAGCTTTGCCAGAATTTTATGTCATTCAGAACTAAAGCAAATAAAATGTATTTCAGTATATACTATGAATATTTTAGTTGCATGTGTTTCACTGGAAAACCAGATTTTTAGAATTAGCAGTGATTATATATCTTTTATCTTCCATGTTTACAAAACTACTGGTAATTATTTAGAGTATGTTACATTAGTTAATAGCCCATCTGCTCATTTCAGAATATCTTTCTGAAAATAAGAGATATGTTGGAATTTCAATGTAACAGTGATTTGCAGTTGACATAGGGTTGCATCCTAGTTGTTAATGTGATATTGCTGCATTATCTGAATTAAAAGCTGAATCACTCTAAAATTCATGTCCTTCTCTTTCCAGATCATGTATCGGTTGGAGGACTTGGAGACAGCTTCTATGAATATTTGCTGAAGGCCTGGTTAATGTCTGGCAAGACAGATCTGGAAGCTAAGAAGATGTATTTTGATGCTGTTCAGGTAACTCAATATTTAAACCATCTTTGCCACTCAGCTGTAACTTACAACTTATATATTAATAAGGTTTCAGTGAATAAGTAGTATATTACATGAATGAGTTACAAAATATTTCCAGTTAGGTAGAGTTCAATATTTGCTAATATCGTCATAACAATAGTGATCATATTTGATGTTTATTTCTAATAGGGCACAAGTATTTGCATGGTTTAAACCTCAGTTAAGAGTCACATATCTGAAAAAGTCGTATTCTTTCCTAAATAAGAATTCTCTCCTTAGGACAATTTAAATTATGTGGGGGAAAATCCTGAATTTGTATTCTGACAATTGCCTAAGTTAAAATTGCCCAAGATGGCAGACAGTCCCAATGGATACCTCCATGTGAAGTAAACTTGTCCTCGGAGATATATGGATAGTATTCTAAGGAAATCCACACATAAAAATCTGAACAAACTCATATTTAAGAGAAGATCATTAATAGTATCAAAGATTCTTTACAATGGAGAAGTAAGAGGCAATAGTTGTGTTTTGAATTGCCTACCGTGTGCTAAGCAGTGTGTTAGGTAGCTCCTTTAAATGAAATGGTGGAGTTGGGTTTTTTTTTCCTCTCATAGTACTCAAGATATTACTCACCCAATTTTACAGATAAGGTTGCTGTATCCTCAGAGATATTACATGTCTAACCAAAATTAAGATTAAAATTTGTTGGTATCAATATCTGTTCCTTTTAATTCATCCACTGTGGATTTATTTGTAAGAATTTCCATTCTACATTTAAATCTTTGTTTACTAATTTGCAGGCAGTAAGTTAGTAAGGTTAAGTTAGAAACTACTTAAAGTCTTTAGGACGAGGCCTAAAGACTTTATACTCACTTAGTATAAAAGTGAACTAAGAAACACCTCCAGTTAAGCCTCAGTCAAAACTGAAAATAAATTAGAAAGTAAATAAAGTCAGGAAGAAAATCATTTTATCTAAAATACTTGAACTTCTACTCATTAGGAACAGAATTTTTTAGTGGAATCAGGTGCTTTCGTGATTGTTTTATGTGGTAACTCATATATTCTTTTAATATTAATTATCAAGGCTTCTCAAGTAATGTAAAATAGTGGCTCAGCTCTCAGAAAAGTTTTATTTTTCTTGACAGCTTAGAAGTTTTTTTTAATAATCAAAGTGTTGATTCATGGGGAAAAATGGAAATTTGTAGTCCCAGCAATGTAGCCATTGTAAAATTGGTCTTTCTTACAAAAGGTCTAGGCCTCATTTTGACATAGGCATACTTATTTATTTAAATATAAATGCAGCTTGCTTTGTTCTGGTTAACTACATTGATTATGAGGTTGGTTTCCTTTACAAGTCTTCACTACTTCACATGTAGGAACCAGAAGCACCTTAGTTAGAACATGGGCCTACATTTGGCACAACCTTTGTAAAGGCACATGATTAACATCAAAAGCAAATTACATATGATCCACATGGCCTCTTTTATATTTTTCCTCATTGCTATGAGGTTTCAGATTTTAACCTAGGGAATTCTTCTTTGTATTTTGTAGTTTCCATTCTGTCATCTTCTAATTACCGTACTGGCAGACATTTTAATTAATCCTAAATTGCCCCTCTAAGGTCTTGATGTTCCAAGAAAGACAGCTTTAAAATATTATTTGAAATATTTTTCTCCTAGTTCCTAAAACCATACCCACACAACTTTTAGTATATTGGATTCAGACAAATCATTGACAGGAAAATCCATTAAGGACAAATAAAGTCAGAATGATTCTGGCTTATCTTAATAGTAAAAGCTAATTTTTAATTCATTGTATATTTTCAATTTAGAAAGCAAAGCTAGAACAACTAAATTTCTGTTTGGAGAAGTAGGAATGTCTTACATAGCAAAGTTTCTTTCTGCTAAGTTGTACTTTAGAAGATTATTGTTATCAAGGGGAGGATGCCATACATTATTGTTCTGGACACTTGATGACTGAAGATACCGTTACTCTGTTGTAGCTTCAGGTAGATTTTGGAAAGCATTTATCCCAGAGCAGTATGTTTTATTGATTATTTTAATAACAATATTTTGAGCTTTCAACTAGTTATCATAGCCCTATCTGGAGACGACAGTAGGAACTCACAGTGGTAAATGACACGTGGGCAGATGACTTGTCAGACATTTATGATTCCGAAGGCTTCATCAAACTAATTTTTTTAAATCAATTACAGAAGGATTAAATCACAAAATGTATAATACTCTTTTTTTCTAATCAATTATCTATAGCCTTGACACGGTTTTTTCAGATCCACTAAAGACTAATTTACATTTTCCCATGGCCACACAAAACAATTGCTTTAAAAGTCTTGGAATTTTATTGTAGTTTTTTTTGTTTTTTGTTTGTTTGTCTGTTTGTTTGTTTTTGTAAGGCAGAGTCTTGCTCTGTCGCCCAGGCTAGAGTACAGTGGCGCAATCTCGGCTCTGCAACCTCCACCTCCCAGATTCAAGCAATTATTCTGTCTCAGCCTCCCAAGCAGCTGGAACTACAGGCATGTGCCACCACGCCCAGCTAATTTTTGGATTTTTAATAGAGACAGGGTTTCACCATGTTAGCCAGATGGTCTCGATCTCCTGACCTTGTAATCCGCCCACCTTGGCCTCCCAAACTGCTGGGATTACAGGCATGAGAGCCACCTCACCTGGCCTCATTATAGTTTTTATTAAGAGGTAGCAACTTGGTCTGAATCATGCCAGAAATAATATCATACCTTATTTAGAATCCATAACAGGGTAATAATGTTTCTCTAATTCATGCTCAAAAGCTATTACTCTTGCCATGTAGAAAGAATAATTTCTTGGGTGATGAACAAGTATCTGCTTGAAAGACTTTATTGCAATTTGTGTTATGAGAAGTATAAATAGCTAAAATGTTCAGTTGCATAAAATAAGAATGAAATATTAATGTAATAACTAAACCATCAATAACATTAGCTTAACCACAGTTAATAAGCACAGTAATATGTTCATTTATTTCTTCCCATCTTGGTTTCATTTGTTTATTTCTAATAAAGGTAGGAAAGGTTTTAGCTTCCTATGTATTCATTTTCATTCATTCTTCCCTATCACAGGTTTTTTTCTGTGCCTACTATTCCCAAATGTGCTTCCTAAAAAATCCCTCTTTTTCGATAGCAGTGTGCAGGTATAGATGCAGTCATATCCTTTTTCCTTTTGTGAAGTAATTGTAGGGCAGCAATGAAAGCATTTTCTGTCAGAGTAATTGGAAATTAGCAATGCCAAACACACTTTATTTTTGCTTTTTAAAATATAAGGCGTGTTTTATTTCTCTGGCTAATTTAAGAGAATACCAACAGACCTGGGATAGAAATAAAAGATGTTGTATATATCATTTTTATAAATATTGTCATTTCCCCCAAATTTAAAGATTTTTAATTTTTAAAATATTAATGAATAATATTTATTCATTATATAGTAGCATGCTTTTTAATAGAATTACTAGGGAAGAACTTGATTCAAGTGTCACCACATTGGAGATATAAATGATAATTAGAAATGACTTTTATCAAGTGCCACTTGCAGTAGTGACTGCTTCATAAACAAAATCTGACAGAGTCCTCTCAGGAGATCCTGTTGTTCCCAATTATGGATTAGGATGCTGAGATTTAGGGATAGAGTAAGCAAATTGTAAACTCACACAAGTTACAGATAGTGTCAGGGCTAGAATTAGAAGCCAAGTCTTCTGGCCCCAGAACACCTCCTCTTTGCCACTCTATTTTGTTTTCGCCTCAAGGCTAAGGCAGTGAAAGGAAGAGTTCTGCCACCAGCCTGGATCCCCTGCACAAATATGCTGTGTTCCCCATCCACCTTAGGGCCTGGGCTTTGTGTTACTTCACCACTTGTGGAAATGAAAATGTACCAAATCAACTATTACCACTGCACCAGTGACCTGTTTTGGGAAAGGGGAAAGTTTTCTGAATATGAGGAATACGAGTGTTTGGTCACAGAACCTAGCAAAACCAACTGTGCTGGCCCAGCAGTGTTAGTTCTGACTAACCAAACTAATAAGGCATAAACTAGAGGAGGAAGACAGAAAGCAATAGCGTATAATTTCAGGTTGAATGGATTTGTAACACCAAACTCAGATTGTGAGTTATGTTTTATTCTCTTTTTTTTAATGGTTGAGGATATTTTTAGTATAAATTTAAAGAGATTACAAAATATTAAAAGTAAGTGTTTTCTCCAGGCCATTGAGACTCATTTGATCCGCAAGTCTAGCAGTGGACTAACTTACATCGCAGAGTGGAAAGGGGGCCTCCTGGAGCACAAGATGGGCCACCTGACCTGCTTTGCAGGAGGCATGTTTGCACTCGGGGCTGATGGAGCTCCTGAAGGCCTGGCCCAACACTACCTTGAACTCGGCGCTGAAATTGCCCGTACCTGTCATGAATCATATAATAGAACATGTGAGTACCTGGTATTCTTCATTTATAGTCTATTCCCACATGCTTTGATTTCATGCAGTTTTGTCATTGCTGCCATCAAAAGAATATCCACTCTGCCTATGAAACTTAATTATCATGATTAATGATGGAACCAATCCATCACAGATACTGAGGGATGACTATACTTTGTAGTTTCATTTAAGCTATGTTTTTATTTTAAAAGGCAATGCTTTTCTACCTAAAAAATATTTACCCTGAGTTTGCCAAGAAACAAAAATCCAGGCAATAAAGGGTTAAAGCCAGCCTAATTTACTGACTTCTGCTTTTGCCAATAACATCAGGCAAGGGTCTCTATCCCCCTGCATAGAGAAACCACATTTTGTAAACCATTATTAATCTTCTCCACATCCCCCATGAAATAGATCATGAATCCCACTCTGTTCTTATAAAATAGGAATTTGAAACACAAAGTATAAATAACTGGCCTTTTGTAACAAAATTACTTAGGATTGTCAATCACTAAGTTTTTGCCTAACTCAAATAATATTTCATGGTGCCTTGAACCTGCCTGGTGGGTGCTCAGTAAATGGGGGTTAAATGGAAAAAAAAATTGTGCTGTATCCTAAAAGGGACTCTTTTAGATGAGTTTTACAATTTTTAAAGTATATGAATATTATATAGTACATGGAGTTTATAACTCTTTTTTAAAATGACTATTTTGACATCTCTCAGTGTTGTTAAAGTACAAACCCTTGTATCCCTGAGTTCCACAACCACAGATCAGAAATGTTCCCCCAAAATGGATGGTTCTGTCTGTACTAAACATGTATAGACTTTTTGTTCTTGTCTTTATTCCCTAAACAGTACAGTATAACACCTAGTTACATAACATTTACACTGTATTCAGGATTATAAGTAAACTCGAGATGATTTAAAGTTTATGGGAGGATGTACCTAGGTTGTATGCAAATACTATGCCATTTTATATAAGGGACTCAAGGATCCATGGATTTTGTTATCATCAGAGGGTCCTGAACCAATCCCTCATAGATACTAAGGGATGACTATACTTTCTAGTTTCATTTATGTTATAGACTCTAAGCACTGTCCAGGACAATAACCCTTATTCACTCATCCCATGTCCTTTAGTTATGAAGCTGGGACCAGAAGCTTTCAGATTTGATGGTGGTGTTGAAGCCATTGCTACAAGACAAAATGAAAAATACTACATCTTGCGGCCTGAAGTTATAGAGACTTACATGTATATGTGGAGACTGACTCATGATCCAAAGTACAGGAAATGGGCGTGGGAAGCCGTAGAGGTGATGTTTTAATTTGCATGTTTCTTATAGATAAATGTCGTAGTAAAAAATGTTCAGCGATACCTATAAATCTAGCTTACCAACTTTTATATAATTTTTAAAGCTTCGACCAGGATTTTTTCTACCAAGAACTGTGTAATTTCATTGAAGTCATTTTATATTCCTGGCCTCAGCTTATGTAACATTGATACAGATATACCTACTGATAGACTTAGATATTGAAGGAGAAAACTAGAAAGGCATAGTCTAAAATTAAGTTCCCATGAATACAAAAATGATGATCTCTTAATCCCACCTAAGCGTTATTGGCAGCTCTTGGATATTCACCTCTGTTTCAATAAACCACTATGTGTTTTTTTCTGTCTATGGGCTTTGAAATACTAGTATATGCTTTTACTTAGAGTAAATAGCTACTTAGATCTAACTTTTAGAAAGCACTTACAGAAGAATTACTTTGTAGTATACTCCTTCGCTAGTTTCAGGTTTCCTTGAGTATCTTTAAGCTTTCCATGTGCCCAGTGTTTTGTTTTAATTGTCTTTCACCTCTTGGGTCTCTTCCAGTCGAGGATGGTATGTCTCCTTCCTAAACTAATCTAGTGAATGCTTTGTGTGCCGAATGCCTGAGGAGGCGCCCTGCAGGATATGCATCTAACAATGTCTGTCTAATTGTAAGAGTTATTATTCCGCAAGGAGTGGAAGGGAATTCAGGGGATAAGAACAAGTCAGTGCTTTAATTACACTCTCATTCTCTAGCACTCTTTGTTAGAAAGTTAGCTGTCTTTAAAAACTGTCCATAAGGAATGACTTATCTCAGGAAATCTAAAATGAATATTGCCTTTGGTAAAATTTAACTAATAATATCTTAGGAAGCCGTTGGTGAATCTTGCTTATTATCCTCTTCATTTAATATGTGTCTTATCATTAATCATCAGTCATTTTAAATAACAGCAATTCTCTAGGCCTCTTTGAGGGGGGTGCCGTTTTATTACATTTAATCAGTAGTCATTGTAATTTCTTTTCATTTCTGGTTTTTTTCTCTGGAAAAAAATGTTAAAATTGAGGCTTTTCTAAGCTTTGGTGATAGGGAATTGTTTTGATCTTCAGTTGGCCAGCAAATGAATTAAGTATCAGTTTAAGTTGAGAATATCAGGAATAATGTATCTTTCAAATCTAAAACACTGTAATTATGTAAGAAGCATCATCATTTTATATACCACTAAGGAAAATAACCAATAACATTATGACATCCATTTTATAGATGTTAGAATGTTCAAAATGTATGGCAGAGAAGGGATCAAAAATAGAAAGTAAGCAAATCCATATTGCTAGGAAGGCAGGATGCTTTGGTTTGCTTTGTTCTTCGGGGGGATTGGTTGTTTATGGGATTATAAGGTTGGTTTATGTGTTATGATTTTTATTTTTTGTCAACTCTTTGACCTAATATATGACTTGAAATCATTTCCCTGTGTCACAACAATGAGGTCTCCATTTTGGGGGTGCCCCCAGTAACCTCTGCTAGACCCTGAACTATAGTGGTGAGCAAGGAGTGCTGTAGGATCTTGCATTTTTTAAACCACAAAAACCCAGGACTTAGAAGGCATGGCTGCACTTTTCTCCCACTGTGTTACGCCCCCATGGCCTCCTGTGTTTCAGCAGCAGCCCCACATATGCTGGCACCTGCAGCACCTCCAGCACGTGGCTGTTCTGATGCATACTTGAGACCACAGCTGGAAACCATGTCAGGAAAAGAAGGTGGAAGAGCTTTTCCCTAACCAGCTGGCTGTGGTCTAGGAAGTGCTGGGGAGTTAATGGTTTTCAACCAAGGAAGTGTTGGAGTTGATGGATAACAATCCCAGTCTTCTTTCTTTCAAGAGTCATTCTGGAATACATGCTACATGGTTCTTACAGGAGTGAGCCTCGTTGCACACAGTTGAAATTTAATATAATTCATTGGCTCTTCTGTCCCTGTTTTACTCTTCCCGCTTGCCCACTTCCTGATGTCACCTCCCTGATAGACTTTCTGCATCCCGCGTCCAACCCCAGTCTTATGCTTTATTTTTAAGGGAACCCAAACTGAAACAGGGGGTCTTAAAAATCACCTCATCCAGCTTTATACTTAAAGACAAGACTCCCCTCCATATCTTTGCAAGATAGTTCTTCCTCATCAATGCAAGGACTTCACAGCAAAGGGAGATGTATCACCTAATAAAGTAATTCATTTCAATTTTTAATGGTTGAAGGTGTTAGAAAGTTATTTATTTTGAAGCCACAATTTACAATGTTCTGTGCTCTGGGGGCACGAGAGGAAAACATCTCCCATCTACATTTCAGCTCCTCAATTATCTGAAGACAGCACGTTCTGCCAGCTCCTCCTTTCCTCGTCCATCATTTCCTTTGATTTTCTTTTCCTGGCATGGTTTCCAGCTGTGGTCTTTTAGGACTGAGCAGTATGTCTCAAAAACCTCTCTTCCTGTCTTTGCAGTGTGATTTTTCACAGCTTATGGTCCAACTTGTTCTTTTAGTAGATTTATATTTAAATTTTTCAAAAATAAAACTGTTTTTTTAAAACAACAACAAACTGGCTTGTATTGAAATTATTTTCAGTGTTGGCTTCTCCATTAGCTGCTGTTGAGTCACATCTTCTTTGCACTGTGCTTTGTTTCACCCATACTTTCAGTTTGTAAAGTTCTTGTAAGCCATCTTCCTATCTTCTAACAAAAATCACTCCCTTCCCAGCCTTCTTTCACTGATACACTTGAGAAACCTGCTTTCGATGTCTTAATTAAATTTCTAATAATAATGTCAAATAAGATATGAAAAGGTATATAATCCAGCAGTACAACACTAGAGAGTTCTTTTGTGGGTTAACAGCACTCCATTAATCACTGGTGTTCAAGCACTTGTGAGTCTGCCTGACAGAAACAACATTTAACTGATATTTCTTTTCCTTTTTCTCAAAAATGTCATGAAGACCAGGCATGTCTTGGTCTTCAAGCCTGTAATACCAACACTTTGGGAAGCAGAGGTGGGAGGATGGTTTGAGGGTAGGAGTTTGAGATCAGCCTGGGCAACAAAATTTAAAAATTAGCCGGTCATGGTGGCACACTTTATTAGTCCCTACCTACTCAGAAGGCTGAGGAGGGAGGACCACTTGAGCCCAGGAGTTCAAGGTTACGTCGACCTAAGATTGCACCACTGCATCCCAGCCTGAACAATAGAGCGAGACTCTCTCGAAAATTTAAAAAAAAAAAAAAAATGGCCGGGCGCGGTGGCTCAAGCCTGTAATCCCAGCACTTTGGGAGGCCGAGGCGGGTGGATCACGAGGTCGAGAGATCGAGACCATCCTGGTCAACATGGTGAAACCCCGTCTCTACTAAAAATACAAAAAACTAGCTGGACATGGTGGCGCATGCCTGTAATCCCAGCTACTTAGGAGGCTGAGGCAGGAGAATTGCCTGAACCCAGGAGGCGGAGGTTGCGGTGAGCCGAGATCGCGCCATTGCACTCCAGCCTGGGTAACAAGAGCAAAACTCCGTCTCAAAAAAAAAAAAAAAAAAAAAAAAAAAAAAGAGAAACTGACAAATTCCTTCCAATTAAACATCTGATAACTTACAGTATGAGCTTTATCACAATATTAATTGTATGTATATATTAACATAGGTTATATGATGTCTCCACTGATCTATGGTAAAGGATAAAGCCTTACATAGGGATTTGGGATTTTTTTTGGCTTTAGGTGTTTTTTTGGTAGTTTCAGGTTTTGGGGTTTTGTTTTTCTGCACAGACATTTTTGTTTGGTCTTCTAACCTTTTCCACTCAGACATTTCAACTCTCAGAAAGTGACTTGTCTTCCTCCTTCCTCCTCCTGCCTCCTCAGGCTTCATCCTGTTTCCAGTCTCTCTGATTTTTTCAAGGTGTCTGGTTCCCTGTGTTCTACCCTTGAGTTCAGACCACAGTCAAGTAGACAGCCTTACACTCCATGGATCAGCCGTTTATATATGTGGTAGACAAGAGAATGCTCTTCTGTCCTTACAGTAGTGCTTTCTGAGTTATGATTTAACTCATGATGCTCACTGTTTTCTTACCTACCTCCCACTCCAAGTATAAAGCATAATCACTGGAGGGTCAGGTTTGTCTTCATCCTTTGTTTAGAGCTCAAGTCAACTGTAAGCATTCTCATACACTGTTCTCTGCTATTAGCACATCCCAGTCAGTTAGGATCACTAATAATAGAAGCATTTACTCAAAACCAAGGTGTTCCCTATGCCTAGAGGCTGAGAGTCCCAAGAACAGATTGTAGTACAGTGATGATCTGGTTAGACTTTGCCATTCAAACACGTGACAACTTCCACTGTTGAGATGCTGGTAGACTCAGGCTGTTATAAGGGTCCAGGAAAGCTACTTGTCCCAAGCTTCACATTCCTGAGGTCTTAAAATCTAGGGGAAAGGGGAGGTTCTTTGGTGTTTTTCCTTTTTAACAAAAAAAAAAAATTTAATTTACCAAAAGCTTCAAAAACTGAAAGTGGCTGACCCTCTCTAAACCTCCAAAAGCCCTTATTACTGTCTAAGTGTTTCCTCCTCTTGTTTTATCCTCATGTACAACCCCATGTTGAGAAGAAAGATGCTGCCTGGGACATGGAGCTTCTGGGGCCACTGATAAGGGGGTCTCCAGCTGGAACTTGGCCCACCACTCAAAATTTTTGACTGTGTTCTTGAATACTGTAGTTTACCCCAAGGGGACTTGTGGGGAACAAGAATGAGAGGGTGAACTAGAAAGAAAGATGATGGGCATTGTCCGCCCCAAAAGCAATTCCTCCTGTTTAACAAAATAAGGAGCTAAGAGCAGTTTCCATGGGGAGGAGGAGTGACTATTTGTCATGGCTGGCCTTCTCATTATGAAATCACCAAAAACCTCAAGGGAACAACTAAGAAAAGGTTTTTGGATTAAAATCTATTTAAAGAAATTTCTGGAAATGGGGTTTCCCATAAAAACCTTGCCCATTTTTTCTAAATTCTGATTTTTTTTTCCCTTTTTTAGCAAATAATTTTTGGCTCACTCTATCTGGTATTGACTTTTTATCAAAAAAAAGGAAGAAGGAAAAATAATAGGGCTTTAAAGTTTCTTTCTTCACGCTCATCCTCCATTTGACACAGTCTGGAACTTAGAATTTAATTGAAGCATCTGTTTTTAAGTTGGTTGTTCTTATTTTCTTGGGGACTTTTTTGAAGTATGAAATCACGAGGCATTTTCTTTATTTTCTTTATTCATGTGGCCTGCTGGTCAGATTTTCTTTAACCAGGTAATTAAATGTTTCTCCTCACAGTCCCTGCTCTCTCCCTTCTGTCCTCCAGCCCTGATGTGAAAAATCAATCACCTCATTATCGGTATCTGCAGATGGGAGCTGAGCTCTCAGTGCAACATCTCTGCTCTTGAGAATCCATGGCTGGCATTTGCTTTCCCTTGCCTCTCTTCTGAGCTCTACATTCTTAGAGCCTTGTTTTCCTCCAAAATCCTTTCTAGCCAGAGAAGATTTTTCTCAACTAATACGGCAAAATCTATGCCTTCCATCTTTTTGGTAGTTGGATTAAATGGAAGAAAAACGGGGTACAATTATACATGTAAAAGAAAAAGAGGATGGGATTATGATTCATAGGAGAAAATTTAAAAATAAATGAAAAAATGACATGAGAAACTAAGTAAGTTTCTCTTGTTTATATTTTCTTTGTTTCACTATAAAATATCTTAGGGTTTTAGTCTTAAGCTTTGTTATTTTTGTCTAGAGTCAATAAATTAGAACCAGATTGCAGATGGCAATTTTCGTACAATGGAAATTTTTATTTGACCATATAATTAATAGGATTAGTAGGATGTGATGAGCAGAAAATAACTTTCCTAGAGATAAATATGCCTGGTAACTAGCAGAGCAGCAAATGTAATTTCAAAATATAAACAGCACAAAAAACCAGCTCAAGATGAATTAAAGACTTAAACATAAGACCTGAAACCATAAAACTCCTAGGAGAAAACAGTGGGGAAAAAGCTCCTTGACATTGAGTTTGGCAATGATTTTTTGGATTTGACCCCAAAACACAGGCAACAAAAGCAAACAAACACATGAAACTACATCAAACTAAAAAGTTCCCTACAGCAAAGAAAACAACTAAACAAATGGTGACAAAAATATATGTAAACCATGTATCTGTAAGGCATTAATATCCAAAATATATAAGGAACTTACAATTCAGTAGCAGAAAAACAACCTAATTTTAAAATGGGCAAAGGCTCTGAAGAGACATTTTTCCAAAGAAGACATATAGATGGCTAAAAGTGAAAAGATGCTTAACATCACAAATCATCAGGGAACTGTAAATCAGAACCACAGTGAGATATCACCTCACACCTGTAAAATGGCTGTTATCAAAAATTCAAGAGATAATCAGTATTGGTGAGGATGCAGAATAAAGGGAATCTTTGTATACTCTTGGTGGCAATGAAAATTGATGAGCCATTATAGAAAACAGTATGGAGGTTTCTCAAAAAATTAAAAATAGAGCTACCATGTGATCCAGCAATCCTAATTCTTGAAGTATATCCACAGAAGATGAAATCAGCATCTCCAAGAGCAATGTGTCCTTCTGTGTTCATCGCAGCATGATTTATAATAGCCAACATACAGAAACAACCTAAGTGTCCATCAGTGGACGAACAGAAATGTGGCATATGTACATGAGGAAATATTATTCAGCCTTAAAAAAGAAGGAACTCCTGCCATTTGTTACAACATGGATGAACTTGGAGGACATTATGCTAAGTGAAATAAGCCAGACACAAAGACAAACACTGTATGATCTCACTTATATGTGGAATCTTTTTTAAAAAGTTGGACTTATAGAAGCAAAGAGTAGAATGGTGGTTACTAGGGACTTGGAGATGGAGAAAAGGAGAAATAATTGGTCAAAGGGTATGAATTTTCACTTAATATAAGATGAGTGAGTTCTGGAGACTTAATGTATAGCATGGTGACTACAGTTAGTAATAATATACGGATAAATCTCAAGGGTTCTCAGCACACATATGAAAGTATTTAAGATGTGAGGTGATGGATATGTTGATTAGCTTGATTCATTTCACAGTGTTTACATATGTATATCAGAACATCACGTTGTATACCTTACAGTACATACAATTTTTATTTGTCATATGTTGATAAAGCTGCAAAAAAGTTAAAGAAAAATAAAAACAAATAAAGAAAGTGGGCTCTGGAAAGGGAAAAGAAAACAAAAACAGCCAACTTAGTGGTAACCAACAAAAATGGAAGGCAGATTGGTTTAGGTTGTTACCTAAATGTTCGTCCTCACACTGCCTAACCCATCTCTTTTCCAAATATTCATTAAGTTCAGACAACTACAGAAATATAGGATCATTTCTCTCTAGAGAGTTGTCAGTGGGGTCATCCCATCTTCTTCCATACTAGACCAAAGACATGTTTTTTAGGAATAGATCCCAGCCACATATCTCTCGCTGTCTTTCATTTTCTTCTTTTAGCTCTGTTACCAATATCACTGATTAGTACCCTACAATCAATTTTCAAAAAATCAGATATTCTGATTATAGTAGTATTCTAATTTTGCTCCAGTATAGTTTCTCAGCCAGTGGTTTATGATCCGAGTCAACATTAGCAATCTCTCTAAACTAGGGATCAGCAAACTCTTTCTGTTAAGAGCGAGGCAATGTCAGGCTTGGGGGCCATCCAAACAGTCTCTGTTGCATCTACTTAGCTCTGTCATTGTAGTACAAAAACAGCCACAGACAGTATTTAAACAATATGGCTGTGGTTTAATAAAAGTTTATTTACAAAAATAAACACTAGACTGCATTTAGCCTACAGTCCATACTTTGCTAAACCCTGCTCTAGACCATAGGAGGAAATGGTAAAACTCAGTGAAAAATTGTTCCAAAATTAAAGGTAGAAGTGTTTCAAGTTAGGTGTTAGTGTTTCAAATAGTCCATGTGTTCTATGACTTCATTTTTAATTTAAATTTAGTTTATGATTTTAAATTTTTTCCTAAAATTCTAACAAACTTTCATTTAATTTGAATCCAATTTTTAAAAAATAAATTTTGGCTGGGCACAATGGCTCATGCCTGTAATCCCAGTTCTTTGGGAGGTGGAGGCAGGCAGATCACTTGAGCCCAGGAATTTGAGACCAGCATGGGCAACGTGGCAAAAGCCCATCTCTACAAAATTTAGCTGGGTGGGGTGGCACATGCCTGTTGTCCTGGCTACTTGGGAGGCTAAGGCAGAGAATCACCTGAGCCCAAGAGGTAGAGACTACAGTGAGCCATGATGTTGCCACTGTACTCCACCCAGGCAACAGAGTGAGACCCTGTCTCAAAAAAATAAAAATAAGTTTTATCTGAACTTGGCAACCTAATAATAAAAATTAGTGACAATCAGTTTACTAAATTATGACCATTTTTCCCCCCCTTTGTAATTTAGGCCTTGGAAAGCCATTGCAGAGTGAACGGAGGCTATTCAGGCCTAAGGGATGTTTACCTTCTTCATGAGAGTTATGATGATGTGCAGCAGAGTTTCTTCTTGGCAGAGACACTGAAGTAGGTGAAAATTATTCTAAAACCATGTGGCTAAGGTACTTGGACAGATCTTCGTAGACGTCTTTATCATGAACACGTTCAAGTAGTGTCAAATATGACTGACTGAGAATATCAGGCATGGCTATAATTGCAGGCGTATTCTCAGTAACTAGGTTCAGTGACTTGGTAGCACTAACACCAAAGCACTTGAGTAGCTTCTTTACCCCATGTTAATGAGTGTATCCCCTCAGGGTTTTGATATATTTGACTCTCGTCCATGTTTCTCAGTAAGATAAATGGAGACATTGATGTGGTTTTGCTGTGTGTTTGTGGTTTCACTGCCTGCCTAGTCTCTTGGGCCTCATATGCTTATGTTTCTCTCACCAGGTATTTGTACCTAATATTTTCTGATGATGATCTTCTTCCACTGGAGCATTGGATCTTCAATACCGAGGCACATCTTCTCCCTATCCTCCCTACAGATAAAAAGGAAGTTGAACTCAAAGAGGAATAAAACGACATCTTATATTTTATTCCGCTCCATTCCCTTCACTGCATACCTTAATAATTCCTTTTCTGGTAATCAGGCACGTGACGAACTTTTATTAATAGGTCTGTGACTATTCTAAGGTCTTAAATTGTTTTGCAGTCTTTTATGTTTATTATCATAAGTATAGATGGACCTAAATTCCTTATCATATCCTTTATTATTCAGCCAGTGTATCCACCAATTTTTTTATGTTTTTAAGTAACCTATTATCTCTGAAGTTCATGAAGCTGTAATACCATTTTTATTAAACTGAATAGAATGGTATAGCAATGACCTCTTAATTACAATTTGATTTGACTGCAAAACTTTTTCCTCCTCTATGAGGAGATGATGTCTGCTTTAAGCTGTAATGTTTTGCCATGTTGCAAAAAGCCATAATAATAAATTAAGTATTAAAAAAGCTTTTTCCTTTTCAACTTCATGTTAATCTGGTTTGCCTATCCACCAGAGACAGATCTTCTAACTGTGACAGCCTTCTTATGCAGGTCTATCATTATTTGATAGAATGTCTTCTAAAATACTTCACTCACATTGTAATTCAAATTAGAAAGTCATTCCGAAAGGACCATCTCATGTTGACCTCATTTCATTGGAACTGCAGTGTATTTGTGTTGGTTAATTATATTAGCATTTTCTATTTTGTAAATGTGTTCTTTAATTTTACTTGAAATGCCCTATGTCATTTCTGGATTATGTACTGGTTAATTTCTTCCATTCCCTACTACACAGAGAGGTGAGCTCTCAAATTTTGCAGACCTCTGCTATCACTGAATTACATTTTTCTAAAGAAAATAGTGTAACTTAATGGATTCGCTTTTGGGTTTAACTGAATATATGACGAAATTGGGTCTCTCTGAAGAGAGGGTATTTCATATGGCTTTTGGTTCATTTGTTTGTATTTCATCTTCATTTTTTTTTCTTGAGAAAATAAAGCATTCTATTTGGTTCAGATTTCTCAGATTTGAAAAAGGCTCTATCTCAAATGTAGTAATTATAGAACAACTAAAATTTCATTTCAGTTTGTGAAAGCAGGATTTGATTCTGAAAGAAGCTTTGCCAATCTTTATTAATTCATGATCAATCAAGGAAAACCTAATAAATTTTTAGGCCAAATAAGAATATAGCACATTTAGTATGGTTATATTCAACATAGAGATCACAACCTAGAAGAAATATAAAGAAATGGCCACTCCCAATCCCCCACAGTCCTGGAGTAGATCAAAATCAATATAAAATTCTTTTAAGCATTAAGTTTTGAAGTAGGAATGATTTTCTCAAAAATAGATTTGGTGATACCTTCTGTTTATTTACATTGGCTCACTATATATACATATATATTTATGTAGATATAGCTATTTCCATGAAAGGGCTAATATGATGCGTATACTGAAGTGCAGAGACTTTGACCATGTGAATTTTCAGCCTACAATGGTCAGAAAGATCAGTGCAACCGCGTGGATTAGGCTGAAGCATATGAAATTGCTGCATTTTTAGTTTGAAAACTGTCAGCAATTTCATATGGTTCTAGCTAGTATTATTGAAGACAATTGTTTTCTTAGATATCAATAGACTTCATAGTTTTAGTTATTTTAGGTTTTGAAAGTGTTTTAAAAGATTTCCTTTAATTTACAGGACTGTCTTTGTGACTTCTTTCTGTTTTTCAACATCATACATTGGTATCTGTCAAAGAATAAATTAGTAAAATTAGTATATGTAAGAGTCTTTAGTACATCATTATTTCCATGCTAATGTGTCTCTGTGATCCAGAATAACTTCTCCCACTCATATCTTCAGTTCACCTAATGAAATGAATGGATAGCAAAAGCCCTTGGTTCCCAAGACTTCAAGGCAAAATACTAAGACTTATTGCCAAAATTGGGCCACATGTATTAAGATTATAATGTTTGCATAAATGTCCTTGAACTTGCAATTTAAATTAACTCATTTTTTCTATTTGATTTGAAAGAACACAAAGCTGATAAGTATTTCTGCAGCAGATAGAGTATTAAAATCAGGTTGTATGTACACATTGCGCTGTAAGGTACCTTGGTATCCTGGTGTGAATAGACAAGAAGCTGTGCTATATGTTGCCCTCTCAATGGCAACAATGAAACTTTTTCAATTCTAGAACTTGGATTTTTTTTTAACAAAAGTCCCAAAACACCAAAAATGTAAACAAGATAAGAGATTAATATTATAGTGATATAATTTAATTAAAATTATATTTTAGGTTAATTTTAACAACTGAATCTAAGTAGAAACTTATTTTCAACAAAATTGTGCAGTTAAATTTATATATATATTCACATACTGAAAGATGACCAGTAAAAATAGCACTTAATTTTGTGTTTATGCAATATATCTTGATATACTTTGTGCAATTAATATTACACATGTAAGTTGTATGTCAGTTTACAGAAATCAATGACTTGTCATAACGTTTTCATGATCTATACATTTTGTACATTATTTCTGATTTGTACATAAATCCATTCTGTCATTTTCAACTTTATATATAAATCTCCAATGTTACGGGAAACATAATAGATTGACACATAATTTTTAAAAATTATATTTGTAAAATTTCTCTATTGTGAATAAAGTCTTTGAATATATCTCCTCATTTGTTATATTTTTCTCCTTTTTAGTAGGCTTCTGTATATTTAAGGGGTGAGTGCATTCAGTTCCAAATAGAAATATTAGATCCTAGCAGCAATTCCATACCACACCTTGACAAGGATCTTGACAAGGAAACATTTCCCATTAAAAACTTTTGCATTGCCCATAATTTTGCATATACAGTATTTGGGTAATAAAATAACCATTATTAAGGATCTAATATGTGTTCAACACCAGGACACAGAGGCTAGAAGTTTTGATGAAAGAAATAGCACAAAGTATGATCGTTGCTCATAAATTTGCAATGCAGTTAAAATTAGACTAACCCCTCCCTACCCCTCAAAACAAGACAAAAATAGCATTTAGTTGTGTTAAATTACAAGCTAAATTCTATAGAAGTTCATGAAAACAGGAAGTCCATAGGATTTGAGTGGCCTAAGAGGCTTAATAGAAAAAAGAGAACTTAGCTATAGATCCTCCAAAATTTTTGAAAAAGCCTGGGCTCCAAATTCTTCAAATTTATACTGTATTTTCTTAGAATGCTTCACATATTTTGGTTACTGTTGCCATGGCCTGGAACTCTTTATTTTTATAGCTCATTCTTCACTTTATCAGGTCTCTGCATAATTGCCACCTTAAAATGACTTCTTTGACCAATCAGTATAAAATTCTCTCCACCTCTTGTCCCCTACCGTATTTTACTTTCTACTTAGCATTTGTTATAAATTTATGTCTTTCTAATCCGTTAATATTAAACCCCAGGAGAATAGACACTTTAATTGGCATTTCCCCCCCTCCCCATTTTTCTATGTCTAATGTTGAGAGCAACATCTAGCACTTGATATAGTACACAATTGAGTGAAAAAGTGCATGAGTTAGGAAACTCTATCTTATATTCATAGTCTTTGCTACAACTATTTGCAAATGTCTTTTAATAAGCAGTAATTTTTTTTTTTTTTTGAGATGGAGTCTTGCTCTGTCACCAGGATGGAGTGCAGTAGCATGATCTCAACTCACTGCAATCTCCACCTCCTGGGTTCAAGTGATTCTCCTGCCTCAGCCTCCCAAGTAGCTGGGACTACAGGCATGCACCACCACGCCCAGCTAATTTTGTATTTTTAGTAAAGACAGGGTTTCACCATGTTGGCCAGGATGGTCTCAATCTCCTGACCTCGTGATCCGCCCACCTCAGCTTCCCAAAGTACTGTGATTACAGGCATGAGCCACCACACCTGGCCTATCGGTACACTTTAAAAAAAAAATATTGAAGTACATGTTTGTGACTAGAATCAATTCTTAATCAACAGGTTATTTTTAAACTACTTACATCATGTAAAATAAAAAAGGAAGGCATGACTCCTCCAATAGAGTTTTTTCAGTATTCAACAGCCCATTATCGTTTTATGTGACTTAATATCACAGTCCCTGCCTTCTATGTTAAAAAGCAAAAAAATGATTACAACAGCACCAAGCAAAGAAATTAAAATTATCACCTAACAAAGAGTTAGTCAAATGGGAACCTTCTGAATTAAATTATTGGTAACACAAACAATGTTGGTTGTGTTTATGTTGTTGGTGACAGAATTATTAAAATTTCTTCTAAGCATGATTTTTATGTCTACTAATCAGCTATCAACACAGAGATGGCAACTTGGCAACCAATCCATCTAATGACTGACAATGATATGTAGATACTTGCTTAAAAAGTTTTTCAAAGTTACAAGAGTATGTATATAAGTATACATATAAGTATATAAGTATGGAGCTTATATATCTAATTGCCATCCCAGGCTCCCTACCTTGTGGCTGAAGAGTGAGGGCAGGGAGGGGAATCTTACCTAACTTTTTAACTCATTTTATAGCCTGAAGGCTGCTTTCTATTTTTTCCAGGCTCATTCCATCCTCCACTCTAGCCAATACATTAGTCAGTTTTTTTTGTGTCTTTGTTTTTTTGTTGTTGTTGTTTGTTTTGTTTTGAGACGGAGTTTCGCTCTTGTTACCCAGGCTGGAGTGCAATGGCGCGATCTCGGCTCACCGCAACCTCCGCTTCCTGGGCTCAGGCAATTCTCCTGCCTCAGCCTCCTGAGTAGCTGGGATTACAGGCACGCGCCACCATGCCCAGCTAATTTTTTGTATTTTTAGTAGAGATAGGGTTTCACTGTGTTGACCAGGATGGTCTCGATCTCTTGACCTTGTGATCCACCCGCCTCGGCCTTCCAAAGTGCTGGGATTACAGGCTTGAGCCACCGCACCTGGCGAGTGACAGTTTTTAAGAAATATTTGCCAGGCATCAGATACACATTTAAAGTATTGGAACTACAGGGGAATCTAGACAGCATTTAATACAACTCTCATTTTAAATATGAGGAAATGGGGATTTCCCCAACAGGAACTGTTTTCCTATCCTTCCTCTGTGCTGCCAGATGTGGGAATATGGTAGGATTTCATGCTAATTCTGAAAATACAAAAGAATTAGCCAGGCATGGTGGCACATGCCTGTAATCCCAGTTACTCTGGAGGCTGAGACAGGAAAATCACTTGAGCTCAGGAGACAGAGGTTGCAGTAAGCCAAGATCGCACTACTGCACTCCAGCCTGAGTGACAGAACCAGACTCCACCTCAAAAAAAAAAAAAAAAAAAAAAAAAAAAAAAGCTTTGTATGAGAGCATATTTCCAACCAGCCACTCCAAAATAAAGGTATAAATTAAGAGTAAACCCTTAGAAATTGGTCTACTGCTGTGTTTCTTTCTCCAGATGTGGGCTACAGTTTACCTAATTCAAATCTTGGGTAAGGCTTAAAATGCAGATTTCAAAGCCTTCCCCCAAATTTAACAAATCGAAATTGTGATGGGGCCCTGGAATGTCCATGTTCAGTCCTTTGTGTTATTCCTACACACACTAAAGTTGAAAACAACAATTTTAAATTAAAGGTTGATGGAAATCCCAAGACTATCAGAACAATTAATGAGTTAAGTAGCAAGTCATGACAAGAATATGTACCTTTTTCTGTGTTTTTGTCTCTACCTCGTTTTAAATACAACTTGATGTAACTTTGGTCACTTTGAAAACATAAATTCTTCCTTTTTTACAAAAGCAGTAGTGAGCAATAAGCCATACACCTAAATCTTTTAGAAACATATTCACAGCAGATTCTTAAACGACATTCTTTAATATTAGGAGAAGTCTCAAAAATATTAACTTCAATCATTTTTGTTTTTATTCAGCGATTGTTTTATTTGCTTTCTTCTCCCAATAACTCCATTTTTAAGTCATTTTTCAAATTGTTTCTACTGTTCTTATTGATTTTAACATGACTGTCACTTGCACAGACTACATGGAATTTCTAGTTTGGCTATATGTCATGTAAATGTATAAAATGTTCTTGGAAATAACCTCTGAAAAATACCTTCATTTCCCCCGCCCACATTTTTACATTCATTGCTATGCTAATTGTCAAATATTTGTTGGCTTGCCATTATTATGATCACTTTGAGTCCCCTTAAAACATGCTATTACTTACAGAATAAATTAACTTAAATGTGTATCACAGATCCATTTAATTCCCCAGTGAATGAAAATTACCATGAAACATTAGAAAATAGTGATAGATGTATAGTTTTTATAAACTTTTACACCTACTGGAATATTTTGGCCTTAGGCTATGAGCACTTACTAATTCATAATTCTGCCAACAGGGCCATAAAATGTACTGCTTTTCAAATAGTGTTTTCCAAAATGACTGGCACCTGAGAGTTTTATTTTTTGATTTTTTATTTCGTTTTGCTTTTTGTTTTGTTTTGTTTTGTTTTGTTTTGTTTAACTCTCCTAGGAGAAACGAGTGAATGATCACAATTCACAAAATCTTTGGGAACTTTATTCCTGACTTTCCAACCTTTGGCATTCTTTGTGGAAAATAGAAACCACATAATCACCTCGCAGAACCGGGATGGGAGGTTCCATAACAACCTCTTGAGGCAGGCACGTGCTATTGGTTCCCTTTCATGTATGTGACAGCTTTGGCTTGCTATGACCCAAGGCTTTCTATTTAATAAGTGACTGAAGGAGAAGCAAACAAAATCTCTTCCTTCCTGTGCAAAACCTCTTTACCAGTCTGCCTTTCAGTACTGCACTTCACTGGTTAAATACACCCTAAGTGCCTCTCTCAGCTATCCACATTCCTTCTCAATCTTGCTTTTGTCAAATTGTTAACTTTGTGACTTAGATAATCTTGGCAGGGAGTTGCAAAATATATATATTTTTAACTTTTATTTTTTTTATTGCATTTTAGGTTTTGGGGTACATGTGAAGAACATGCAAGATTGTTGCATAGGTACACACATGGCATTGTGGTTTGCTGTCTTCCGTCCCCTCACCTGTATCTGTCATTTCTCCCCATGCTATCTCTTCCCACCTCCCCACCCCCACGTCCCTCCTCCATTTCCCCCCAACGGACCCCAGTGTGTAGTGTTCCCCTCCCTGTGTCCATGTGTTCTCATTGTTCAACACCTGCCTATGAGTGAGAATATACGGTGTTTGATTTTCTGCTCTTGTGTCAGTTTGCTGAGAATGATGGTTTCCAGGTTCATCCTTGTCCCTACAAAGGACGTGAACTCATCGTTTTTGATGGCTGCGTAATATTCCATGGTGTATATATATTTTTTAAATGTTCCATTAAGATACATTGTCTCCTTTCTGTATATGATGCAGTAAATAGAAGGGGTAGAAAGTAGGTGCAGTTGGGCCAATGGGAAGCCTACCTCACTAGGAAAGCAGACAAAGGTTCCAAACTTTAGCTGGTGTCATTAACTCCCTGTGTGATTTTGATCAAGCACTTACTCTTCACATCTCCCTTTCCTTAATCTGAAAAATGAAAGGAGTGATTAGCCCAGGCCTAACAGCTAGGCTCTTCATTGCATGGCATCTGTTGTGGATACTTGAGCAAGAAACAGCAGTGCACATGCCTATAATATTTCCATGCAGAGACCAGAGACCACCACACC